GCAATTATACCCATTTACATCTGTGATGACCTCTGAAGGAAACGAGATGTTCTTCCTAAGGAATTACTACACACAATAAAAGTTTTTAAAAAGAATTCATAGACAGGACTTCTGCCAAGATGGAGGCATAGGTGGATGTGCCGTGCCTTCTCACGCAACCAAGTTTAGAGACAACTAAATATTAGCAACAGAAAACACAGCCAGAACACGGAAAATTGAACTTTTCGGAAGTCCGTTAACAACAAATTCTTCAGCCTGACCGGTAAGGGGCGAAACCAGCGGCGGGTGAAGCGGGATTGCACAGGAGGTCTCGGTCAGCCGGACTCAGGCACGGAATCCAGACGCTCAGAATCTAGGCGCAGGGTTGGACCTAGTGAGCGACCGAGCCAGCCACCAGGGGAGCGACCGCGGGGGAGACAGCGGGGGAGCAGTGCTGTGCGTTGACTGTGGTCGCGCATTTGTGTGCGGGCGGACAGGCGAGGGAGTGGGCCGTTGGACCCGGGCCGGCGGGTCCCCGGGGCAAGCGGCAGTGGAGGGCGCCACCATTTCCCCGCTCTGACCCCACCTCCACATACAGCGTCATAACCCAGCGACTCTGAGTGGCCCGGCCCAGGTGAACCACCTAAGAGGCTAATCCTCACCCAGCTGTGAGAAACAACAGAGGGGGTCGCCATTTCCCCGCTCTGACCACGCCCCCACATACAGCATCACAACCCAGCGACCTGGGAGTCCAAGGCACCGCTTCTCACACTTAAAGGGCCTGAACAGACCAAAAATGTTGCAAGATCTCAAAGCCCCAGAGCCCATAGATCTAAGCGATGAAGAAATAGCAAAACTCTCAGACGCATAGTTTAAAACACTGGTCATCAGGATCCTCACAGAACTGGTTGATTATACCGACAAATTAGACAAATATATGAAGGCGAAACTAATTGAAATGAATGGAATTGCACAGGAAACCAATAGCAATGAAAAGGAAACTGGGACTCAAATCAATGGAGTGGACCAGAAGAAAGCAAATAATGGCCAAACAGAAAAGAGTCAAGAAGCAAGAATTCAAAGAAATGAGGAGAGTCTTAGGAATCTCCAGGACATCTTTAAACGCTCCAACATCCGAATTATAGGGGGTACCAGAAGGGGGAAAGGCACAGCCACCAGTGGAAAACTTATTTGAACAAATAATAAAGGAGAATTTCCCCAATCTGGCAAAGGAAATAGACTTCCAAGAAATCCAGGAAGCTCAGAGAGTCCCAAAGAAGTTGGACCCAAGAAGGAACACACCAAGGCACATCATAATTACATTAGCCAAAATTAAAATGAAGGAGAGAAGCCTAGTAGCAGCAAGAGCTAAGGGGACAGTCACCTACAAAGGAGTCCCCATCAGACTGTCAGCGGATTTCTCAAAAGAGACCTTACAGGGAAGAAGGGGCTGGAAAGAGGTATTCCAAGTCATGAAATCTAAAGACCTACAACCAAGATTGCTCTATCCAGCAAAACTTTCATTTAGAATGGAAGGACAGATAAGGTGCTTCTCAGATAGGATCAAATTCAAGGAGTTCATCATCACCAAGCCCTTATTATATGAAATGTTAAAGGGACTTATCTAAGAAAAAGAAGTTAAAGAAACATGAACAGTGAAAGGACAACAAACTCACAGTTATTAACAACCACACCTAAAACAAAAGCAAACTAAAAGGACAGCTAGATCAGGAGTGGAAACATAGAAATGAAGATCTCAAGGAGGGTTAGCAACAGGGGAGTGGGAGGAAGAGAAGGGGAGAGAAGGTACAGAAAATAAGTAGCATAGACAGTAGACAGAAAATAGATGGAGGGGCAAGAATAGCATGGGAAATATAGAATCTAAAGGAACTGAGACACATGGTCATAAACTAAAGGGGGGGTAATGGTGGGGATGGGGGAGTAGGGTGGAGGGGAATGAAGGGGGAATAGAACAACTGTAACAGCATAATCAATAAAAAATTTAAAAAAAAGAATTCATAGACAAATTGGGGTAGGAAATAGCATTTACATTTTTAAAGAAGTAATTTTGGAGAAAACGAGCCTTTTCATGCGCACGTATGCTGTGAGTCAAACAGAGTGGGGGTTGCTTGTCTCTGCCCCACCATGTCCGATGTTCGGCTGGAGAGACTCAAAGGCTAGGGGTGAATGCTCGAATGTTACTTTGTTTTCTGAGTGATTGGACAGAAAAAAAAATTAAACAAGTTCAGCTGCCCTCCTGTATTTAAGAGCTAAGGTAGTATAGTGGCAAGGAAAACAGAGAGCTGCCAATTGAAGATCAATAAAACATTCAGAGAAATCCCTGAAAAGATAATATAACCCAAATAAAAATAAGAGTTGATGTTTAGATAGTATTTAAAAAACTTGGCTGTTATATAAAGTGGTACATTTACTTGTGATTCATGGGAAGAATGTTTATTTTTTTAGAAACAATAACTTTGCATATCATGACACATACATTAATTAGCATATGTAGAAAAATTAGGGCATGGGAAACTAGATTGAGATCACACTCTACGTTTTTGATAGCCAGTGTATAAGAACAACTAAAACACTCATCGGGTTTGTCTAGGCTTAATTTCTATTTATGCTGCTAATTAAAACTCCAATTTTCAAGCAAATCTGCCCACAGCTAGGTGGACACTTTTTAAAACCATTAAAGGGTATCTGACTCATCCAGGTTCACAAGCCTCAGTTCTGTATAAAAAAGAAATAGAAAAACACCCTGAATTGTAAGCAATCAAAATACCATCAGAAACTAACAGCATGGTTTAATTACAGAGAAAAATCCATAGTCATATACTTTTTCCTTTCCACTCTTCACACAACCAAACGGGAAACAAAAAGTAGTATAGAAAAGCAATTAAAATGAAGTCTAAGTACAATGAAACATTAGCTTCAGATTTCTCATTTTTCTCTCCTTTGCCATACAGAAATTGCTTCCTCTCTCCCTATTAAAATAATGTATTGCGCGAATCCAGTGTACGGGGCCTGGCGGGTTCCAAACCCAGGATTGGACCTGGTGAGCCGCCGAGCAGCCCACCGGGGGAGCGACACAGTGGGGGAGGCGGTGGCAACGAATTGACTCTGGTTGCGCGAGTGAGGGAGTAAGCGGTTGGACCAGCCCGGCGGCGGCGGCGGCGGCGGCCATTTCCCGCTCTGACCACACCCCCACATACAGCGTCACAACCCAGCGACCTGGGACTCCAAGGCGCCGCTTGTCCCACTTAAAGGGCCAGAACAGACCAAAAATGTCGCAGGCAGAACTCAAAGCCCCAGAGATAAATCTAAATGACGAAGAAATAGCAAAACTCTCAGATGCACAGTTTAAAACACTGGTCATCACCTTTCTCACAGATTTGGTGGATTACAGCCACAAATTAGAGAAACATATGGAGGCTAAATTAAGGGAAATGAATGGAATTCCACAGGAATCCATAGAGATGAAAAGGAAACTGGGACTCAAATCAATGCAAGGGTCCAGAAGAAAGCTAATAATGGACAAGCAGAAAAGAGTCAAGGAGCAAGAATTCAAAGAAATGAGGAGAGTCTTAGGAACCTCCAGGACATCTTTAAACGCTCCAATATCCGAATTATAGGGGTACCAGAAGGGGGAAAGACACAACCACCAGTGGAAAAACTATTTGAACAAATAATAAAAGAAAATTTCCCCAATCTGGCAAAGGAAATAGACTTCAAGAAATCCAAGAAGCCCAGAGAGTACCAAAAAAGTTGGACTCAAGAAGAAACACACCAAGGCATATTATAATTACATTAGCCAAAATTAAAATGAAGGAAAGAATCCTGGAAGCAGCAAGAGCTAAGGGGACAGTCACCTACAAAGGAGTCCCCATCAGACTGTCAGCGGATTTCTCAAAAGAGACCTTACAGGCAAGAAGGGGCTGGAAAGAAATATTCCAAGTCATGAAATCTAAAAACCTACAACCAAGATTGCTCTACCCAGCAAAACTTTCATTTAGAACGGAAGGACAGAAAAGTGGGGGGGGAAGAGGGGTGTGGTAGGGGGGAATATATGGGGGGGGAGGGGGAATAGGTACTAAAAAAAAAATAATTAAAATGTGCTTGCCTTTTCAGTTAACCCTAGACTTCTAAGGAATCTTAGTAATCTTATTTCATAAAAATAGTAAGATTGCATGGTTATTGGGCCATTGTCCCTACTCGATGAGGACCTTGGATCAGACTGGAAACCAGCCTAATTTCATGAATTGTAATAAACTTGCATAACCTCTAAAACAGGGTGATAGACTTGAAGTCAAACCTCATGTGTGACCGAGTGTGGCTGTGACCCCAGATTGCACCCAGCACCTGCTTCTGCAAGGAGGACTAATAAGAGGGAGGGTCCACTGGACACACATGTACCAATCCCGTTGTGAACTCCAACAGATCTCTGATCAGACCCTGATCAGACCTCAGAAGAAAGCACACCTACCACTCTGATCCGTGAACAAATAAATGCTGAATCTACCACATGAGTGGCATTCCACTTCAGCCACCAAAACCTGCTGGTAGCCTTCCACAGAGCACACACCTGCAGGCTCAGGACTGGGCACAAAGGAAACAGCTGCAGCAGCACGTGGGCACGTTCACACAATGACAACTATATGTCACTTCCAAACTATTCATGGTCACTCGCATGCATGTCTTCATGATGTGATCAGCACAGAAATGCCTGGCTTCCGGTGAACCAGATACTGCTGGGGGCGAAAATGTTTACAGATCCACATGAAAGGTCTCCGTGCAGCTCATGAGCAAGAGAAATGGAGAGCAAAGCTCCATGGGGAGCTTGGGTGGAGAAAAGTGAGAAAGTGAGTCAAGTGAATAAAACATCAATCCACAGGGTGAGACAGCCACGAGACAGCATGCACAGCACTGAAAAGAGAAGCTTTCCCACTGGTGAAGACCCCACGCGATGCTCTCCCAGGAATCACAGTAGCACACAGAAGAAGAGAGAGAACTCTTACTGGAGCCCACGGGAGTGGCTGAGATCTTTCAGATCCGCGTCCTCATAATACGGAGTGATCATGCCCACTCCACTATCACTCAGCATGCGTTTCCGTAGCGCAGGGTTCCACCAGTCTGACATTCTGAGAGAGAGAAGGACACCAGACTTGTAAGCAAAGTCAGCCACACGACCCACTCTGTGCTTTCTCAAGACGATTCTTGTGTCTAATGCGAGACAGGAGATTCCTCTTCACTGAGTATTTATTTACTAGGAACGTCACATTTATTATTGCATTTAATTTGCTTGACTGTCATGAACTATTTCTATGATTCTTCCCTCTTTACAGATGAGAATTCACATGAATTTCAAGACGAAGTCATGTGGAACGTTAACAGAAAAGAAGTAATGGAGCCTGATGCAGGAATGCGGATTAGAAGATGACAAAGCCCATCGTCGTGCTCAGTCACTGCTGCACTGCTCCTGGTTTTGTCCAGTGTGAGCCACTGATTAGAAATAAGGAAGGAATGACTTAAATACTTATAGGGTCTCAGGCTAATTTATTTGTGGAGCTAGAGTTAGTAGAGGTCTAACTCAGGACAAAGCCATTTCTTTTGGCCAGGAGTTGACCAGGGTGAGCTTGGGTTCCCTCTTATCAGATCAAGGACTGATCAGATCAAGGATGTGAATCACCCCTTTGCCCAGATTGGATGGGGCGGGAGGCCATGTAGACTCTAGTACCTACTGCCTCTGCAGCAGGACTCAGCATCTCACTTGTTTTCCCCACGACTAACAAGCTTGATTTATGGTACATGGACTGTGAGAGTGGCCTTCTCCGTTGCCTCCTGGAACATCCAGAGTTATGTTAGACCAGCCTTTGAACCTGTTGGCTTTCCCTTCATGCCAAGACAACTCCAAGACGCTAGCTCTGGCTTCTAAACACAGATATGTATCTGTTTCATCCCATGACTCCTGTCTTCTTTTGATGACACACAGACTCAGTTTATACCACAGACATCAGCGGGCCCTGGCAGAGTGGGAGTTCTCTCACGTAGCAGCAAGGGTCAAACAGACTACAGAAGGGGGTTAAACAGGCACAAGGGTTACTCAAGTGAGTAGCTTTGTTTATAGCAAATAGATATGTGTGCATGCTTTGTGTATGCTATTTGAACGCACATGTGTGCTTTCAACTATTTAGCTTCTCTAAGTTCATTAGACTTCAGAGGGCAGAGATTTTGGTCTGTTTTGATTCTGGTGCTCTTGTTCCCCAAGGGCTTACTCTAGTACCTGACACATAAAAAGCTCTAAATAAATACTTTTGAATTCTTGAAATAATCTAGAAATGCCAATACCATTCTAGTCATTCAATGTAGAGGTTAAATTCATGGGCCCAGGCATCAGAAAACCTGGAACTACCTCTCGGTTTTTCCATTCATTTTCTGTGCAATCCTGGACAAGTTACAAACCTTCTAGGCACCAATTTTTTTAACTATGGGTTTAGGACAATAATAGTAGCAAACTAGCAGGGTCATTGAGAAATGATGCTGAAGATGATTTTAATAACATAGTATTTAATGAGTTTCTTCTCAAGTGCCAAGGACTATCTGAAATGCTTCACATGCATCAACTCTTACTCTCTGAGCAATTCTATACATAGCTATTATTATTCTAATTTTACTGATGAGGACACCAGCATAGATCACTTACAATGATGAAGTCATTATGGAGTGGTGGTAGGAATATAGCAAAGGCATTCAGTACAGTATGTGGCTCATAAGTGTTGGCATGTGATAGTTATTATTACACAATCTATATGCCTCAGGCCACCTAGATAGAGCAAAAAAGGAGGAGGAAGAGGAAGAGGAGAAAAATAATTGTCAAATCAGCCATGTCAATTGTTATTTGGCTAATGCAGGTATTGAAGATATATATGCACAAATGCAAACACTGGCAATTTCTAGTTTGTCAGACAGTGTGGGCATGGTGGATAAAGTGGGCTCAGACTTGACACAAACCTGGATGGGAAAGAGCATTTATTTCTACAGAACCATTTACAAGGCAGACTGATGATGAAACCCACCATTCAACCCTGGCAAAGCACAACCAGAACTCCTGTGCAGTAGCCCCAACTTGGCTGTGGTTTCACTTTCTTTGGCTTCAGTCACCTGTGGTTGACCTTTGTTTGAAAATACTACATAAAAATTTCCAGAAATAAACAGCTTATAAGTTTTAAATGTCCTGCCATTCCGAGTAGCCTGATGAAGTTTTATGTCATCCCCCTCTGTCCACCTGGGATGTGAATTATCCCTCTGTCCAGGGTCTCCATGCTGTGTTCACTATCTGCCCATTACTCACTTAGTGGCTGCCTGTAGCAGTTATAACACTGGTTACAACAGAGGGAGGGAGGGAGGGACAAAGAGAGGGAGAGAGGAAAAGACAAAGAGAACGTTCACCTAACTTTTATCATAGTACGTTGTTGTCATTGTTCTGTTTTATTATTAGGTATTATTGTTTTCGAGCTTTTATTGTGCCTACTTTATAAATTAAACTTTATCATAAGTATGTATATACAGGAAAAAATGTAGTATGTAGAGTTTGATACCATCGCAGTTTCGGAAATCTCCTCTGTGTGTGTGTGTGTGTGTGTGTGTGTGTGTGTAGGGGGGTGCTGAATAATATCCCCCACAGATAAGGAAGGCACTTCTGTATTTTCAAGTAGTTTGATGTCATTAGAAAGGTCAGTTCCGAAGCCAAACAAGACACAGACGGCACCCTTTGGCTGGTGTCACCGCCACACGGCCAGCGGAGGCACACACACACTCACCCTGAAGCTTGCTCCACCACCAGATCAGGCATTCCTGGTGGTGTCCCCGCCTGCTGTGACAACACCATATCTGGGTCCAGAATAAAAACCTCATCTTGGGAAATCTCCATCACAAAGTGCAAATGTTCCTAAGGGAGAGAGAGAAGTCTGTCAGATGATTGACAGGACGTTCAAATCTGTCGTCTGCAGCCTAACAACACAAAGTGACTTGGTCTTGAAGAATAATGAAATTCTGTGACATATCAAATGACCACAGTGGCTTTTCAAAGGCCTGACCAGTGGATGTCTCTCCCTGAGGCAACATCCTAGCAAGAGTCTGGAGAGGGAGAAACGTGAATCCTGCTTGGCTTGAGTTCCTAGTTGGCCAGGATCTCATTAGGTATAACCAAGTCTTGCCTCTTCTTCCCTAAAACTATCATAGGGGTGACACACACATGGAACCAGCATGAGTAGACAATTACCTGGACTTCCACCCCCAGGACCTGGTCAAGGTTAACCAGCACAGTTAACACTGGTTTCATCACTGGATTCCACACTGTGCTTTCATTTTTCAGGGGAATTTGGACACTGAGAACACGTGTCATCATTAGGCATAAGCACGTCATTTTCTTATTACTGAACTCTGGGACATGGTGAGTTGAAACTAAGTGGTCTAGATATCCACTTGAGGTCTCAAACTGTAAAAGGCATACAATTTGACTAGGAAGTGGTATTTAAAAGTAGCAGTGTGAATAAAAATTTGAAGTGTGGCCTGCTGATAATATTTACCAGTCTCATTATCTTTTGCACTCATTTAAAAGGTCAAGTCATATTATCTTCAGTCTACAAATCATAAAGCACAAGACGACAAATAAAAAGGTATAGCTTAGTCAAAGGATACCATTCTAAAATGTATACATGTTTCTGTTTTCTGTTAGAAAAATTTGTAGGATTAGCTATCGATAAAGCATAGTCACTAGGGAATTTTTTACTTTCACAAGCAGGCACAAAAGAACTTACCTGAGATCTGTCTATTCGATAAAAGCGATCAGCAGAAGTTGCTAGGAAAAAAAGAAGTATATGGCATTCAGAGTGGTCTGTGACCTGGCACTCAATTTGCAACCTTCTGTCCTACCACGTCAATTGGAAGCCTTCTATTCCAGGCATGTGGATCACTGCAGCCCCTAAATCTACTAAGAAAACCTAGGTAATTCCACAGCTTTGCTGCTAATATCTCACTGCTTAGAAAGCCCTGCCTCCCCATCGCATCTGCTAACCTAAACCTTACTTGCCCTTTAAGGACCAACTGGAACGTTCCCTCCTCCGTGAGACCTCCCTCAGTCCCGTGCCCCCTACCCTGAAGGAACTCACTGTTTCTACCTCTCTGCATTTTGTTTATACTCCCTTCACAGATAACCACAAGACTAAGGCATCTGCCGCTTCAAAGGTCTGTGTTGCCCTTATTCTTTTGTCTCCAGATATTAGGACCTTAAACAGACCTGGGACTCCATGTGTATTTATTAAGTAAATAAGGCTAGGAAAAAAAACAAAAACAAAAACCACTAGGTAGCCAGACTTCCCAAGAGAGTGATTCTCATTTTGGAAAAGATCTTGAAGAGGCAAGGCCAAGGACCACATCTGGTATCGAAGGAATAATTTCACCTTAAAAGTCAGTCCCTAAGCTATGTCTGGAGAAAGTCAAAATAGCAATAAACAAACAAATTTTATTTATATATAAATATAAATACATACATACATATATATATATACACATACATATTATATATATATATATATAATTTAAGCATTTGTAAAAGAGACTGGGCTGTAGCTCTGGCTTGCAGTAAAAACATTTTACAAACTTGGGTTTCTAGAACTTATTCTCTTTATTGTTCACATTCAAAAAATAATGCTTCTCCTTGATTAAATCTATCTACCAAAGTCCAAATACCATAAATAGATCTTCCACATAGTACTAACTAGGGTAAAAAACTTTAAGTGCAAATAATCATTCAAAAATCATAAATGTTTAATGAGTAGCTTTTCTCCAAAGGAAAGGAGCTAAGAAACCAAACAGCTGTGGCCCTGCTCTCTTACAGCAATGGGAGGGAAAAACCTGCCTGAGAAAGCCTTGCTCTTTGTTCTTTTTCGTCATGGTTACAATCACCTTGTAAAGGTTTCTAGTAAAACTATTTGTAGAGTAAAACTAATATGTGCATTAAGATCACTACCCACCCTTGTAATTTTATCAAAGACCATATACAGAAGACATCGTATATAGAACAATTCATGTCCATTTTCATAATTTTCCTAAATGTAAGCCACTCCTCTGTGGATACAGGAAAAACACAATTTTGTTCTTCATCACTGGGGAATCAAAGAGCTGGAGGAAAAGCAGTGTGATTTACCTTCAGAGGGAGTTGACAAGCCTTTAATGAAAACCTATGCTGTGATTTATATAGGTTAGATTTCAGATAGACACTCATGCTCATCTTCATAATACTGCTCGTACATCACACATCCTGTCATGCTCTTACCCACATTTCTATCCTCGGATGTAAACACAGTGAAACAAAGAGAGCTCTATGATGAAAACCATGTAGACAAGAGACTTACTGGCTGGTAGGTACACTGAGTAGCATATAAGCAGGGACGGACTTCAATGTAGGTAACTGGATAGAAAATTAGAACTGAGCAGCATCTAGGACATGAGAGATGCTAGCGATGAAAAATGGACTCGTTAACCAATCAGAAAATAATTGACCTATTATGCATTCAATGTCGTGCTCAGCAGCGCAGATACGAATGCAACTGAAATTGTCTACGTTTTGATAAATATGTATCACACTGAAACGATGGTTTAATGAAGATAATATGAAAGTTCCCAAACATGCAAATAACATCCCACGGTTAGTGAGCTATCTACTGGCCTCAAGAGAGGCACTCAACGTCTTTTAGGAGGTGAGGGGCTGGGGGGAGGAGGCAATGAAGGGAAATGTCAGCTTGAGCAATCTGATGTTGAGACGATGAGGCGGAGAAGCTGACCACTTGCTTCGAGGGAAACGACTTCCGAAAAGTGTGCTGCAACACCAGAAAGTCCACATCATTCAGGTGCAAATACCAACCACGTGGAGCCACGTGCAGGGTTTCTGAAGAGTCTTTTGGGAAACTTGAGTCCACGCCACCAGTGGCTGCCTCGCCCCGCTGCTTCTCCACCCCCACCCCCCTCGCTGAAATACAGAAACACTCACCATCTAGAAAGCACCAGCGTGGGGAGAGTCTCTGAGCTGAGAGTGCCCTGGGGAAGGAGGTTTCTTGGTCCTGGAAAGAGACACACACATCCTGTGGCTCCGTCTGGAGAAGCCGAGGGGCTTCCCTCACTCTACATTCTGCTGCGTAGCCCATTTCTAGGAGCGAGCATCCTTTCCTAAATGAAGTGTTGGTGAGAAACCAAATCATGCTTTTTTTTCTACTAGAAACAGAAACAGGGGCTCTGCTTTGAAACGAATCCTTACACATGGAACTTTTAAAAATGCCTCCCACATGAAATTTCTAGGAGGTTTTCAATGATCCCATTAAGCACTCATAAATAATAGAATAGAGGGGGACACTTACTTCTTTTAAGGAATTTCTTAGTTTCCCTTTGTGATGCTGAGGAATTAGTGGCAGCTGGCTGTCATTTACATTTGCATTGTCCACACAGGTATGAACCCTTCCCCTACTGAGAGAATCTCTGGAGGTAGAAATGGGGCATTCTGATAGGTATGAAGATTCCCCCTACTAAAAGAAATCCCTGGAGACAGACACCAGCAATCTTTTTTAACAAGGTGAGTCTAATGTACGCTAAAGCTTTAGAACCACGTGCCAAAAGTTACCAGAACAACAGGGATACATTTTATTATTAAAAAGTGGGGGTATATGGCTTTCTAATGAATGACTTCTGTAAATTAAGTAACTGACTTAAAAAAAAAAAGAAGAAACTTGGTATTGGTGAAGACTGGTACCAAAATTTATATTTATAGATGTAGAATCGATATGACTATGGATACAGAGATAAATATATAATCCTCTTTGCCATCCTGCTGGTTAAGCTAAATAAAATTTTGACATGCGCTCAGTACCTATTTACATGAGAATCATGTTCAACATTTTAAAAATTATATTTTGACACATGTGCTGCCTTGTTTTTCAGAAATGTAAGATTCCTACTATACTTTTACAAAATATAGAGCTACCAACATGTCTCAGTTTGGTGCGAAATGCAATTATAAAATGAGAGATTTGAAAGATATTTGAAATATTTAGTGGCAACTATGAAAGCTAATTAATAAATGTATTAAATAAACATGGCCATCTTCTCTAGAAGTAAAAGAACTTAAACACCAAGGAACTTTCTCAATTTTGATGTCAAATATGCTACAGAGGCCACCGTGAAAAAAAATCCTAATTTTCCTAGGTTGAAATCAACTTTGAAAGAATAAACCAATACTTGATTTATCATTTTTAAAACCTAAGCATTAATAGTGTGCTGCTAGAATAGTCAAATGAGAAAACACGGGATGCTACTTAGCATAATTCAAGAAAATGCAGATTGATAATATGGCCTCAGCCACCTGAATGCTTACCCTCAGGCTGGTAAATTTTATGTGTGTGCCTGACTTCTCTTTGTTTATTTTGCTTTTTTTCTGTTCAATTATTTATTCTCACTTTGATCCACAAAGCATTTGACATCTATGAACTTCCTGCAGGAGGTTTTGTTCAAGGAGAACTTCATCAGTTTGCTCTGTGAACACATTGGTTGACACCCAAGCTCTCTGAACCACTTCAAATAGGTTCAAATAGATCTGGAAATAGGCCAACAATCCTGGAACTCCCTGATATTTTATGCTAAATTTGGGGTGTCTACATGTACATGTGTTTTCCTGAGTAAAGGAACTACTATTTTCTATAGATTAACAAAGGTTAAAAACCTACTAATTCAAAGAGTCAAACATTTAGGTCAGAGACAATTCAATAAAAATGAGATTCTAACCAGTAAAATGCCTTAACAATACCCAGATGCAGACAAATAGGAATTACTATTTCAAAGATAGTGGTGATTATAATTTCAAATGTCGGGAGCTCTCTGAGCTTTGTAGCAATTCTGTTGGTAGTGGGTTAAATTCGGCCCATCGATACACATAAGGATGAACTCTGTGCTTGTTTCTATCTGTGGTCCCTCACAAATATTTTCCAGCTCTTTAAATAAGGTGCTGTAAGTTTTCCTAATGTTTATTTATTTAACAAAAACAGACAAGAGGATGACCTATTTACATGGAGTAATGGATTGCCTTAAGAATTGAAGTTAAACAATACTTTATTAATTAAAGGCACAGGAATTTCACAGATAAATTTTTTATTGAAAAATAGTTGGATACTTTCCCAGTCACCTGAAGATTAAACTGCTATCTCAGAAAATGGTTAGAGAAGCCCAGGCACCTCCCTAACTTCTCTGAACTGTCTTCCCCGAACTAGGCTTGTATCTTCTCCCACCTTTTTGGAAGATTTCAACCTTGTTATAAACATCAACAAAAACCATTTAAGGGGACACTTACTAACATAATGAGGTCCTATGTTAAACGTCATTTGAATTCCAAAGGAAAAAGTACTATCTGCCCAATCTAGTAAATATTTATAATGCGGCACAATAAAATTACTTACAAATTTTTTACATGTTAAAAAGATATATAAGAGCGGTGAAGCCTTGATATAACCTTCCCTTGGATCTAGGGTGGTCAACACCTATCTATGCAGATGGGAGGGTCTCACCTGCATTAGGACCCTGACCTTGGAGATTTTCCTGAAATTGGTGTTAAAATGATGCTTCGCTGCAGGAGCCTGACAAACGATGAACCAAACCCACACAACACACCAACACAAAGAAACAAAGAAACGCTGCTACTAAGCAGGACCAGATGCTGGGACACCAGCTCCAGGATCCGAGGGAGAAGAGCAGACTAGACACACTACATCTGGTGGTGCCGAGGTTCTTATATTTCACCTGAGTTGAAAAATGGAGCAGAAAGTACATCTGGAAAACTTAATGATATAGAATGAGATCAGAAGACTAAGAACTGAGATGACAAGCATGTTCCTGTCCACGAAGTAATATTTAAACATCATAGGAAAGACAGGTGGATACAAGGGAATTAGAAACAACACAATGGATTGTAGGTGACCTAGCCTCAGGTGACTAGCAAGCCCAGAGGCATGGAACCCTGCAGACCAAGTACACCAGCTTTGAGCACCTGCTGGGGGTGAGATTTCAGGCAAGTTTCTCACCTCCTCTGTGCCTTGGATGCCTCAGTTGCAAAATGGCAGCCATAGTATCTACTGCAAAGGGTTCTTCTGAGGAGCAGAGGAAATGGCACGTGAAATGCTTAACCCATCAGCTAGTACATGTCGACACGCAGACATAGTTATGCTGGACAAGTGATACTGAGGCGGCTGGGATAACATTATTTTACCTAAAGTAACACTGACCTTGAACCACATGAGGAGGCCATAGGACATCGGCCACACTTCAGACCAGATGATTCAGATGGGGCTATACGACACAATACATCTGTTATCAGAGTCTGGGTTTCGGGGAAAAGCATGGGACAGATTCACACAAGTGGACACAAAAAAGAATGACATCAAACAGAGGCTGAGATCATGCTGCTGTGGGTTTGGTGTTTGCAGGGTTTGTCTGAATCAGAAATTCTGTGCCCCTATTCACAGCACTAGAAGCTACATGACTGTTTTAAATACAGGGCATTGTGTTTGAGGCTGAATATCTTCTATCACCAACATCAGCGTTTTTCAGAATGGTTTATCCTGCTGACCTCTCCTCTTTTAATAATGCCCCTTCATCAGCAACCATGCTCCCTAGATATTTGCTTAGTTTCACTGAAATTGTTATCTTTTTATTTGCTGATTTAATTTCCAGTTGCCCCACAACTATCCCTCGTTTTTATTCCAGTGACACAATTATGACCTGTCTCTTCGGTATGTATTTATTAAAGGTAATGAAGTGTCAGCTGTGTGACCTGTAAGGCATGAAGAACAGAGCATCGGCCATGTTTTCAGAGGGGTATGATGCCCTGTAAGCCATCTGCCTGCTCCCAAGTTCCCTTCTTGCTCCAGTTTCTGGAGTTGCTCTATGTTTGATCGATCAGATTTGTACTTCTTTTCCCATGGGATGGTTATTGTGACTTTAATTTATTTCCTACCTGTGGTCAAAAGTTACCAATTTCAAGGACAGGATTTTGAGTTGGCTGCCCAGAGCATTGGAGTCTGGCCATGGAAAGAGCAGAAGATGGTAGCTGTTGGGAAAGCTAAGGGAAGGCGCAACTCACATTTAAGAAAGTCCTCCCCTTTCAAGTCTATAGTTTGGGGCTAACAGCCCTTGGTGGGGGAAGACATTTTCAAACAGTCCTGACACCAAGGTATAGCTAAGGTGTGCCAAGAGGTACAATCCTAAATCCTACAACCCACTCACACAGAGGCCAGTTGTCATGATGTTACATACAGCTGCAGGAGGCTGACTGCTGCTTCTCCTTCAAAGCCTCAACTTACAGCTTCTGCCCCGACTCATTTCCGCTGTCTGGCATTAAAGCATAATCTCAACAGGCTGTCCGCTGCTCAGTGCATACCATTTTGGGGACTGGTAATCATTCTTTCCTTTTCTTGTACTTACAGTATGCCCCTCATTTTTTTAAACTCTGGTGATATTTTTATAAACATTGCTGTTTTAAATTCCTTGATGGTTCTATATTACATAAACTTTAGACTTATCAATCTTTTCTGTTAATTCATCTGTGGAATAGGTTCATATTTGGGAAATGCCCCCCAGCAGAATGTGTATGAAAGAAATGACTAGACTTCACTTGGTTTTTAGGCTGCCTGGCTACTGCTGGAGTTCATTTAGAAACATTAGGTTAGAGTCTCTTTTAGTAGGTTGATTTTAATCCATATTCCTAGGCTTATTTTTAACCCATATTCATTCTGTTATTAAGGAGTATAATCTAGCTCCTATATAGTATCTATCCTACCCTCTATCCCACTATTCCTCCCAAACCTCTTTACCAGCACCTAAAAGCAAGCCCTGAATGACAAACCAGTATTGAGAATTCAAAGAGACTCTCAGAAGTATCCAAGTATTAGGTGGTGGAGTTGGAGTTCAAATGCAGACTTCTTTTACTACTCAGCCCATGAGCTTATACACCAGGTGTTATGGCTTCTAGAGGAATTAGAATTATTTGTGGTTTTGAAGAATCAGTGGGGGGGGGTAAGCATTT